ACTATTTTGTTATTTAAACCATTATAAACTTTGAAAAATTGGAAATTAAGATGAAATGTCAGAAAAGTTCAATAAATTTGGAAGTTTGAAAACTTGAATAAAAGTTTAATACATTGGAAGGTTTGAAAATTAAAGTAAAATATCCTAAATATAAGGTCAAGACATTTTCATTAAATATGAGAATTGAAGAAATCAAAAAATGTCAAATTATGTTAAAGTGAAAATAATAATTGAGAACTTGAAAGAGTTTGAGAACTTGAAATGGTGAAGAATCTGTGCAGTTGAAAAAAGGGAAAAATTTCAGAACTTTTTTATATGTCAGAGTATAAAAGGGTTTGTTTCCAAGATGCATGCTTATGGGAAAAAGAAAAACATTTCAAATTATAGTATAGTTCTATTAATAGTACTTTGAATGCCGTCTTAGAATGTTAAAACCCCTCAAATCTTATAGAAAGAGAATTATAAACAGGACTGTTTAAATTTGAAAATAGGGGAGCTAGAAAATTCTAAACCATCTGTAAAAGTGATGTTCAAAAAGTTCCGTAATATTCTAATTACTCAGATCAGTGTGTAGATTTCACAGCAATAACTACACAGAACACAGAACAAGTCTAGAATTAACAACAATAGTTACACGGAATACAGAACAAGCCCTGAATTAACAGCAATAGAACAAGTCCAGAATTAACAGCGATAAATACCCAGATCAGCCCAAAATTAACAGCAATAACTACACAACAAGATCTAATGAAGCAAAAGCAAGAAAGACTTCTTACCAGTCATGACGGTTGCAACAACAGCCTCCTGCCAAAGGCACTTAAGTCTCCATCTACTCCTGGCCCTTTTGTCACTACGTCCCAAACCAATAACGACCCAGATTTTGATCCAGAATCAACTACAAAGAAAAAGTCCCAATTTAATCTAACAAAAACATATCCAAAACAAGATTCAACAAAGAAAGCAAGAATCATTTCTTACCTCGCATCATCAAAAGAAAAGGCGCTTGATCTCCTTCTCAACAAAACCCTAGTAATGTAGAGAAAAGGGAAAGGGGAATTCTCGCGGCCGCCATTGGCACGATCAGAGAGATAGAGAACTAGGGTTTTGTTGAGAAAAGGGAGAGGGGAATTCTCGCGGCAGACATTGGGACGATCGGCGAAATGTAATGGGAACTAGGGTTTTCGTTGAGAATAGGGAAAGGGTAATTCTCGCGGCCGCCATGGGAACGATCGGGGAGATATATATATATATAGAGAAATATAATGGGAACTAGGTTTTTTGTTGAGAATGGGGAGAGGGGAATTTTGAGGCGAGGGTTTTTGTTGAGAATGGGGAGAGGGGAATTTTGAGGCGGCGAGGGTTTCTTACGGTGGGAAGAGGGACTATTAATTTATTAGTTTATATCGACTATAGAAGCGACCGACTTAAGCAACCACATAACAGTAATATTACGCCATTAAGGAAACGATTTTAGCATAATCAATGCTTTGATTGAATATCTTTTGAGTTATCTCGAAGATTTTATAATGATGAGTGTCAAAGTGCAGTAACTAAATAAGGAAAGTCTAGTTGTTTTGCCAGCTTAATAATTTTCTTGTGAAGTTGCATATATATATATATACTAGTTGGATTGCACGTGCAATGCACGTGGTAAAATTTTTAATATTATTTTAAATTATAATGATATTTAGGTAAAGATTTGGTATAAACTTATTGAATGTAATTATAAATGTTTGAACAATAAATTTATATGTAGGGATCAATTATGCGATAGTAGAGTTGTTGTAGATACAATGTGATTGATCAATCAAATACTATAACAAGAATATACCTAAAAGTTAATTTTGATGATGTGTATGTAAATCCATGCTTATGACGCTATAGCCTTTCTAAGTCTTTGCACTAATTTCTTTAAATAAAAAGCCTTTGATTATCCTTTCATCTCAAAGCTTCTGATTGCGCATTGTGTTTCATATATATTTGCCAGAGTTCTTTTCCCTTTGCTTTGCTATCCATTGATCATTAACTGTGCACTGTAGTGATTTGCTTGGCTTGGTTGCCTTCTCCCTTTGCTTTGCTATCCATTGATCATTAACTGTGCACTGTAGTGATTTGCTTGGCTTGGTTGCCTTCTCTTCATCTTGTTGTTATTTTGTGCCAAGAGGTTCTGTGTATGGTTCACTAATCGCCACAACTCTATTAGAGACGACTGATGTCTCATTGGAAGGAGATTGCATAAATTTTGTCGAGGACCCAGTCGATAAGCATAATGAAGAAGCAACAAACATTCCCCAAATACAAGTCAATGTGAATCCTATATATTTTGTTGGATTGATTCAGATTGAGCAAGTAGCAAATGTTGTGATGAGGCTCAGGCAAAGAAATAAACCAGATCTTTAGCATCAGAATGTATGTCGTTAATTTGTTTGAAAATTGTTATGCTGAAAATTGGTTCATACCCAAAATGCAAGCTCAATAAAGAGTAAGTTGACTTGCGCCATTCATTATTCAAGCTCTGCCGACTTGTTATGCAGCCTAATATACCTAATAGTTGACCATTGTCAGATAAAATAGATTATACTGTTCAATATTATACGGAGTCACAGTTTTTGGGTACATGCAATTTATAAGTCACGGTTTTCAATGTTATTAAACTTAATAGGTGAATATACCTAGTCCGTCTAGTCTGGTAAATAATGTCCCACCCGAGGGATCCTGAAGAAAACAATTTGGTTTAGCCATTATATCAACAGAGAAATAAAGAGTAAACAGCTCATAAATATACATGCTTAAGTCCTGGATCTAAATGAACTGTGGAAAACCACACTGGATCCTCATTCTCTACAAAGATTTATCAAGTTATTGGTCCCTCTACTTCCTCACGTCATGTTTACGTCCATGTGAGAGTTAGCTGGTCATGATTATTACACCTGATGAACTACCCAAACCCACAATCTTCTATAAAACCCAGCAACAGGTTTCATGAGTTTTAAACAAAAATATTCAGAAGATCTTATGGCTTCCAAACCAGGTCCCCTTACTGAATGGTCATGGCAGAGGTTGGGTAACTTCAAAGTTCACTTTCATCATCATGCCTCCATAGTCACCGAGCCTATAACATGTAAGCTTCTGTATTGATTGTGTGGCACTTATGTATACAATACTGTGTCCTACACATGCTCCAGGTAGAAAATTTTGGTACTCAATTTGAATAAGAAAAGTGCTTTACGATTCCATTCTCTTCATGATCCTAACCACTGGGCCTTTTATGTATGGATAAGTAATACACAAATTCTTTAAGGCTTCTATATTCCTCATATTACCTTAAATCATGTTTAGATCTAGTAAAACAACAAAACATTCTCGCTTGTGAATTGGCTCCTGCATTTTATGATCAATACTTCTATCAACATAGACAACATCAAGAGCATATGATACAAACAGATTTAGAGTACCTCCTTTGAGTAGTTATCCATCACAATCATATATTCATCTTTGTCAATTACCTTCTTCAGCCTACATATCTTCCACCTTTACGTTTTTCATCAAGTGATTTATTTCCTCTATCTTATACCAGTCACATCTAAGACATCGTTACCCACTTACCCCCCATATTTTTAGATCAATGACATATAAACAACATGGTCAAAAACATTGACAAATATGGAACTTGGTGACAGGGACCTAACAATTCCTTAACTTGCTCAAGCTTAGGTACGTGAAAAACACAGGCCAAGTGGAAATGTACAATGAAGAAGAGACCAAAATGAGCCTTACAAACATATATGAGCACTTTTGTACGAGTCTTTAATTTTTGAGGTGGTTGACATAAAAGCCTATTTCTTTAACTTTTGCCATTATGGTAATGTAACTAATGCTAGCCAATTATAAAAGCATATTTATGGCCTGGTATCTGTATGACATGCTCGGAGGTCTATCAAAAAATATGTACTAAAGGATAGTCAACGGGAAGTTCAGTAGAAAAGCAACACAATTAGAAAATCAACACAAGTAGAAATGAGCCAAAGAAACAGAGAAGAAGCAAACATATGGTCTCTATGCCTAACCATGTGCCGGGCATAAGCAATGATGAGTCCACCAGGGAGAGGGAATTTGGCATATCACAAATTATTGGTCGAACACTTTTTAAGTAATTTTCAGAATAGTTTTTTTTCAAAAATTGATTTTACCCACCCATGTGCAAATTGAAATTAATATTGTTAGTAGTTTTTTTGTTAATGATGTAAGATGATGAGAAAAGTGAGCAAAATCTATTTAGATAACACTATAAAGTTCTTAGTAACACAATAGTAAACTTCCATTGGTTCTTGATATTTTATCTCAAAGTTCGGCACAAGCATCATCATTGATTGCATTTATTTATTACTTTGATATGCTAATTCTTCACAAAATAATATAAGAATCTTAGTTAGCTTTAGAAATTAAAAAGAAGAGCAAACTGGAACACACAATTCATAGGAATAATATTTTGATCTAGGTGGCTCTTTGTGTGTAAGCAGACATGTAGCGGTAAATCTCTGAAATGAATCTTTGGATAAATTAAAACGAAAATTTAAAGAAACACAATTTTCAAGAGATAGAACAAGACTAACCTTCATCCAGGTTGAGCAGACTCCTTTGTGAATCCTTCCTGTCGGTGTTGGTCCATGGACTAAAGAACATGTTACATGGATTCTAGTTAATGCCATCCTGCAAAAAGAAGTCCCACCCATTTTTTAATGCTAGAATGAATACACCTCGTGCAAAGTGTGTGAAACTATTAATGTCCAAAAACCAAAACATCAACTGTTGCTCACCTTGGTGAAGATGATATTGAATAATATCTAGGCTGCAATCTTTCTGCCTCACTGGGATCAGAAGCATGTGCAGCTAAAGCAACTAAAGCAGTCTGAATAGCGACAATTGATAGTATCAAATATAATGTTTTAGAAACAAATGTTTAAATTAGTTGTTTGAATCCAGATAGTTCTTGCCTTTTTAGGAAAATTCAGAAGATCAGCATATCATGCAAGAGCAGTTCTTAGAGTACAGGGAGATGGGAAAGGAGGTGGGAGAGAGCCACTGTTGTAGGGGGTTCCATCTTCATTATCAACATGAATGGAGAAGAATGTATTCGATGAAAGACCCAATAGCATTTCAGCCTCCTCTACAGTCTCAATGCAATTCTCTGAATATACACCAACGTGGTCTCCTGTTTCATATTCGGTGGAAGAGTTTTTTTTACCGTGAGCATAAGGAAATGTGCCAACAATATCTAATTTAAGTTTGTAAAGCAACAACAGACATATAATAATGACGACAACAACATAAACCATAAAAATAACCAACACAGTCATAAACTCATAATTTAAGTTTGTTTAGCTTCTACATTAATGAGCTTGTCAAAATAAAAATTTAAAAAAATGAAAGAGAAAGAAAAAGAGAAGATATAAGACGAAAAACATGAAATGTAGGAAAACCCTATCCATTACATGTATAACCTCTAATGAACTGCACAACATCGATCTACGAACCCCTACAGAGCGCGAATTCATACAACTTCTTAGGATCATAAGATTGATTCAATGGTTGTTTTCACATGCTATAGCACCACTCTCACGTATCTAAAGGCAAAGTTGTTCAAAGACAAAAAACAAGTCATAAAGACTTTGAACATATCCGGCACTCGAACAATCAGATCATTGTCATGTTAAGTATACAATTGAATGAGTTGCATAAAATGAATAATGTGACGTGGAATCAAAAGAGGAAAAAAGAAATAATGTGATATTGAATCAAGAAAGCAAAAAGAAATACAAGTACTTACGCAAGACCAGTTTGAGCAATGTCAAACTCCAGATGAATGCAAGAACGATCAGAAGCTGGAGTGTGGAGCTATTTCCGCACAACTACGTTAGCTCTGAAGATCGAATATCATGTATTATTCCATTATTAGATGAACTTAAATACATGTCTCAATATAAAACATTCCTTTAGTACATACATGGATGATGAATATCATGAACGACATGACCATTTGCAAGACTCCATTTCTTTTCCAAATGTGATGTGGCTTCTGAGTCAACAAACACAACCCTGTATTCAGGAACAACGACTGTGTAAGTAGTAGATGCACCTGAGGCATCATCTTGATTTCAAAGCAAATGATCTAATTCTGTCCATAATTTCTCTTTCCTGTAAGAATATATACCTTGTTACTTGCAAAATTTCGGCATATGGAACGTTTAAACACAATAATGTACTAAAAGCAATTTCATCTAGGAATTTCTTTGCAAATCAGGATGCAACACAATTTATTTAATGGTTACTTTAAGTTTAGCAGCAACATGAACGTGTTGTTACCATGCAGTGAAGCATCTTCAATGCACTGATCATCATCTCCTAGGCCTACTTCGACAAGGCGCTTCGCTCCTACCACAATAAGGAAATTTATAAATTTACTTAATCACATAAATAAGGCAAAAAACATAATTATAGCTTTTACGACTACACTATGAACAATAACCGATCAAGCAGGATACGTGGAAGAAGACTGATAGTTATATTAATAGCACTGAAAGACTTATGTTGCATGAGTGCAAGACCATTTTGGTTTTTTGTAAGATTATTTTGTCCAATGTGCTAAGCATGAAAAATGCTCATGTTGTCCTCTTCCCCAAATGAAAAGCAAGAAACAAGAATAATGCCAACCATGCCCGAATATGGTAAGTTGTTCTTATTCCATGATTTTCCTTTAGAGATATCAGCTCACTCTCGCTGAGGTAATCAGGAGGTGAGGTGCTACCCTAAAAAATATAATGAAAATAAAATGGTTATTAGAATTGAATATAAACAAATTCTGGAAGCCACATACATAAAGGGTAATATTCACGTATATTTCAAAGATGCTTGTCTAAGCCTAAGAAACCAAGCATTTAATGAAAAATAAAGTTCACCTCATATAGCTTAACTTTCGCAATGTTTATTCTCTCTCCCTTTGTATACTGAGGAAGATTTTTTTCACTAACAGCCAACCATGGCATGATAGATGTAAACCCTTTAGCTATGACAGCTGACCCACACAGCGGAACACTTCATCACCAACAGTGAATTCTATATTAGTCCTGTAGAGAGCATGAACAAGTCATATTTAAGATAGAAAATGCTGTAACTACCTCAAATCAACAAAAAGTTCAGAACATAACTAAACATGTGCTCATGACCAATATATATTCAGTGATATTTCTTCTATACATCTTGGGTACTTTAGTGACGGTTCTAAGTTTACAGAAGGAAGAAGAACATAGTTGACCTTCTGTATTTGCAGTCAGGACTAACAGAGCCAATAAAATGCTGACATATATACTGGTACAGCCTCCAAGCATCATTTCCTACCATATCCTCCGTTGCTGATCGCATGGGAGTAATGGGAGGATGATCACCAGCATCTCATCCTGTTCTTGGCTTATGAAAACCTTCAGCTAATAATGATTGCACAAAATCACCCCATACAGGATTATTCAATTGTGCCCCGAGTGCATTTCTAAAATCAAATGATCCAGGGTATGATGTGCTCTCTGTACGTGGATAGCTGGAAGATGTCATAAAAAAAGTATATCAGGAATATGCCATATTCAGGCAAAACATGGAACTTTATGACAGTTTCACACACCAAACAAACAGCAACATAAATGATTCATTCAACTTGACAATTTTCACAACAAAGAGAGATATAATAGACAATTTTCACAACAAAGAGAGATATAAGCATCAAGTCTAATCCATAAATAATCCAAATTCGAGGCAGAAATTATAAGAAAAATCACTTAAAATTCTCAGTGAAAGAAAGAGAGAGACTTCACCTTTGAAGAGGGTTGAAGAGATCTCCGTGATTGGAGATCGAAGTCCGACGCGGCGCACGAACTCCGACGGGGGATTTGAGGGCAGCGACGAACTCCGACGGGGGATTTGGGGGCAGCGACGAACTCCGACGGGGGATTTGAGGGAAGCGACGAATTCTGGGGGATTTGGGGATTTTGGGGGATTTGGGATTTCTGATGAGAGAGAAAGAACGAGGGGATTTGGGGGGTTTGTATATTTCCTCTTTTTCGTGAAAATAAGCAAGGCAAATATCCCTCCAAAGGTTTTGGCGACGCAGATGAGAAACAACGTCGTTAAAAATAGACTTTTAACGACACATTCCATTAATGAGGAATTTATTTCTTGTGCACGCTGTGTGTGCATGTACAAAATTTGTAGAAAAAACAAAAAATAACTCATTTCCATTTGAAAGTACAAAAAAATGACAGAATTTGTAGAAAAAACAGCTAGGAATTATGAATCCAAGTTAATAAGGGGCTAAGAAAGTGATGCCTATCCTTGGAAAATAAATCATACGATAATTGGAGAAGCAGCCTATATAATTCATTTTGAGGCTAAAAAATGGTGAAAAGTTAGAGAGATGGACTTATAAGTGGGGTGTTGAAGATGATGGTGGTTAATAGGATTAGTTAAGCACTACATAGGACATACCTTTTAATGACCCGTATCTATTTGTACAGTATATGGATATTTCATGGAAATATTTGAATTTAAGACTTACAAACTTATGGCGAAAGTATTGAACATGCTAACATTACAAAATTATGGTGAAAATGGACCATAACGTGGGGGTAGATCTATGTATTCTCATTAACTAACAAACAATATAATACTCTATACAAACTCTGCTAGCAGAGGATCCATCGCAAATAGCAGTAAGATACGTAGGAATAAAATGATATGCAATGATACACAAATGAAGGTAAAATATGCAAATTCTGCAAATATTTGATTTCCTACTATGTCAGTGATATGAGCTGAAGATAATAGACATGCCAGGAAATGAATTTACCAGGACTTAATTATTTTGAGATTCACAGAATTATGTAGAATTCAGCATGCAAAACTAACTTCCATATGGTCAAAAAATATATCGCAAGGGCAGTAAACATTCAAACAACTAAGATATCTAAAGTGATGAAATGTAATCTTAACGTATTCAACATATAACAATACCACGCAAAGTCAAAAGTGCTTTACAAATCTCTTGCGCGCCTCACCTAATGATAGCAATCAAATTAACCAAATAACAAGTCGAATTATTAGAGAATTAATCTGATAGCTGGGTCTTGAACCTGGGGGCTTCTATAAACTGTCCTCATTTTTTACCAATGATCCAGGACTCACTGTCATCTACTTATGAAGACATTTCCACCACCAAATCTTTAAAGTTCTGATAAGGGTTGAGGGTTATGCATTCATACTAACACCTAACTAAGAACTGTTAGGAATTTTAATGCCTAAATCCCTAATTGCAACAGAAACGCAGAATAGAAAAGTATACCAAGATTTAACGAGGTTCGGCAACTGCCTACGTCCTCGGGAGCCACACAGATAATTTCTTATTAATTAAACAAGAAATTACAATTTAGGAGCGTATCTCAAAACTGAGATTTCTCAGATAAACACTGTAGCTACAGTGTTAATAATCAAAGGGTATGAACCCCTTTCAATTCTCAACTTGAGAATAAATGATACCCCACAATTAAACCCTCTTTAATTCTCTCTCTCTCTCCTTTTAAATCCCCTCTCTCTCTCTCAAAATCGCGTTGAGAGCTGGAGAAAAATCGCCTCTGCGATTTTAGGGCAGCCGCCGCCACCAGAGAAGGAGAAATCGGAGGAGAGGGGGAAGTTCTTCAGCAGCTAAACCCTAGGGCATGGGGTCTCTTTTATAGGCGGAGGTGGAGGGCTGGCGACAGCCTGTCGCCAGCGACTGCTTCGACGCCAAATTCGAGGCCGAACGCAGAGGTGGGAGCGCTCGAACGCAAAGGACGCCATCGCCAAACGCAGGGTTGCGTTCGAACGCAGAGTTGGGTGGAGGCGCTCGCACGTGGGGCTCGAGCTCGAACGCAGAGCTCGGGGGGGCGCTGCCGAAGATAGCCTGGACCTCACCTGTGGCTTTCGTCGGAGCTCCTCGCCGGTGCAGAGGTTGGTATCCACCCCCAAATTAACAATCTCCCACTTGGAGACCAAACCGAAACGCAGAGCTCGGGGGGGCGCTGCCGAAGATAGCCTGGACCTCACCTGTGGCTTTCGTCGGAGCTCCTCGCCGGTGCAGAGGTTGGTATCCACCCCCAAATTAACAATCTCCCACTTGGAGACCAAACCGAGTGC